GTCAAACTTTTTGACTCGAGGGCCACAATGGGTTCTTAAACTGGACCGGAGGGCCGGAACAAAAGCATGGACGGAGTGTTTATGTGAACTAATATAAATTCAGAGTAAACATCATTACATAAAAGGGTACGGTCTTTCTTTTTTTTTAGTTTTATTCATTTCAAACGGCCGGCCCACGGGCTATAGTTTGCCCACGGCTGTTCTAGCCTCTGCCTGAGGCTATCCAGCAGGAGCCAGCTGTGACACAATGTAAGTTGTCTTGGGGCCTTGGGCCAGCTGCAGTTTGTTAGGTAATTATCAAATTGCAAAGGGCCAGGCCTTTCATATGCCAAAGCCTCTGTGGCTTGAGCGGGGCAGGGTCCCAGGGGATCAACAGGGCTGATGGGGCAGTTATGGTTGCTCTCAGTCCTGCCCTCAGAGGCCCTGCTTCTCAGTGTCCTGGCATTCACTGCAAGCACCCCCAAGAGAAAGCTGCCCTCGAGTTCCGACCGATGCCAGACAGTCCAGTTTTTCCCGTATGAGTCTGGGTCCCCAGAGACTCGCCTGGAACTGGAGCTCAGAACTTGAGACTCCCTCCCGATTGAAAAAGCCAACCGTGTCCTCAGCCACCAGCCCTCTCTGTGTGTGCCTCCATACCTCTGTACTTTACTTCCGCACCGCAACTCCTCTGAGTCTCGGGATGCTTTTCTCTTTCCTTCTAGTTGTAGAATTTCCACTCAGCCAGCCTTCCTGTGGTTCTGGATGATGTCCATTCCGTCTTTTAGTTGTATTTTTGAAGTGGTTGTGCGAGGCAGCAATCTCCAGTGTTTACCTATGCCGCCATCTTGGTTTCTCCTGTTAAGATTTTTTTGAGGGGAGATAAGGGGCAGTTCTTTTTGTCCCCACTAGGGATATACAAATTACTGTATTTTAGTCACTTGGAAAAGTTCCACTCTGTGTGGTTATGCCACTATATGGACATACATATTTATGTTACTTCGTTTCATTTTTTTTTAAATTATTAGGAATTTCTTTTTAAATTTTAATTTAATTGTAGGATTATGTAAAATATTTACATAGTTCCAAAGTCAAAGCTCCCAAACAAAGATATAATCAACTAATTCTAGCTTCTATCTCTGCCCCTCTTGCCACCTATTGATAATCTTTTCTTTTTTAAGATTTTTTAAAAAAATTTTTAATTGATTTCAGAGAGGAAGGAAGAGGAAGACAGAGATAGAAACATCAGTGATGAGAGAGAATTATTGATCGGGTGCCTCCTGCATGCCTCATACTGGGGATTGAGACCAACCTGGGGAAATGCCCTGACCAGGAATCATACCGTGACCTCCTGGTTCATATGTCAATGCTTCAGCTGGGCAATAATCTTTTCTTTTTAAAAATGTCTTGCCCTGGCCAGATAGCTCAGTTGGTTAGTGTTGTCCTGATATGCCAAGGTTAAGAGTTTGATCCCTGGTCAGGGCACATACAAGAATCAACCAATGAGCCCTAACCGCTTTTGCTCAGTGGATAGAGCGTCGATCTGCGGACTGAAGGGTCCCAGATTCGATTCCGGTCAATAGCATGTACCTTGGTTGCAGGCACATCCCCAGTAGGGGGTATGCAGGAGGCAGCTGATCGATGTTTCTCTCTCATCAATGTTTCTAACTATCTCTCTCCTTTCCTCTCTATAAAAAAAACCAATAAAATATATGGGG